GCCGCTGCACTACGGGCAGGGCCACCTCCAGTCCCACCTGCACACTCGCCGCCGCTGCTCCCTCTTCGACGTCTCCCACATGCTGCAGGTAGCCGGGGCGGAGTGGCGAGCAGGGGGGCACCCACCGAAGCCTCGCACTCACTGCCACCCCTTTCCAGACCCGTGTGTACGGCCGGGACCGTGTCAGGTTCATGGAGAGCCTGGTGGTGGGGGACATCGCCGAGCTGAACTTAGGACAGGTATGGGGCACCGAGGGAGGGCAGGGGGGAACCGGGAGTGTGATGGGGTCAGAGGTCCCAGGGGCACCCCGGGAGGGGGATGGGCAGCCTGCCCACACTCCCGAGGAACGTGTCCCTCAGGGCACCCTGACGCTGCTCACCAACGAGAGGGGCGGCATCGTGGACGACCTCATCGTCACCAACACGTCAGAAGATCACCTCTACGTGGTGTCCAATGCCAGCTGCGCCGACAAGGATTTGGCCATCATGAGGGTATGGGGCTGCCCGAGTCCTGCGGGAGATGGGGACGTGTGGTGGGAACGAGTCGTTCCACCTTTCAGTGACCTCCATGGGGTGAGGTGGCCGTGACCACGTGTGGGGCTGGCACCGGTCGCCCCCATGCTAGCAGCCTGCTGTCACCCTGGCAGGGCAGAGCAGCAGAGCTGCAGGCCAAAGGCGGTGACGTCCACCTGGAGGTGTCAGACAACGCGCTGCTGGCTCTGCAAGGTAGCAGGGACCCCGTGTGGGCACCACCGCGCAGGGGTCTCCCCGTCAGCGGGTGCCAGATTGTACCCTCCTTTGGGTCCTTGCCCGATGGATGTTAGTGCCCTCCCCATGGTCCCCCTTCCCCAGATGCTGCTGTCCCTCAGAGCCACTTGTGTCCCCAGGTCCCTTCATGGCACAGGTGCTGCAGGCAGGGCTGTCGGATGACCTGTCCAAGCTCTCCTTCATGAACAGCATCATCACGACGGTCTTCGGTGTGCCAGGTTGCCGGGTCACACGCTGTGGCTACACCGGCGAGGACGGCGTGGAGGTAGCCCAGGAGCCGCACTGGCACCCCCTGCCATGGTACCAATGGTACCACCGTGTCCCATTGACCCTACCCATGTCTCCAACAGATCTCGGTGCCTGCGGGGCAGGCAGTGGAGCTGGCAGAGAGGCTGCTGGGTGTCCCCGAGGTGTGGCCGGCGGCGGCCAGGGACAGCCTGCGCCTGGAAGCCGGGCTCTGCCTCTACGGCATCGATATCGACGAGAACACCACGCCGGCCGAGGCCGGGCTGCTGTGGACCTTGGGTAGGTCGGGGCCACATCCACCCTCGCCCCCACCTCCTCCTTCGGGTGGGCGGAGGGGCGAGATGTTTCCATGTCCCCAGTGGGGAGTTAAGGGGACCAGTTGGGCATCGCTGACCTTCTCCCATCTCTGTCCTGCAGGGAAGCGCCGGCGTGTGGCCATGGACTTTCCTGGAGCAGCCATCATCATGGCACAAGCAAAGGAGAAGCCAAAGCGCAAGCGCGTGGGGCTGACATCGGTGGGACCCCCTGTCCGTCCTCACACAGCCATCCTGGACCCCGAGGGCACGCCAGTGGGTAGGTGGGGCAGCAGGGCTCGTGCGGGCACAGCTCC